GGGGGGTGCTGGGGAAGGGAGACCCCCAGTTTGGGGGGGCCTTGGTGTGGGGCGGGGGTCAGGGGTGGGCTGGCAGGTGTGATTTGGGTGTGCCAGGTGTGGGTCTGGGGGATCAGGTGTGATTTGGGGCATCTCAGGTGTGATTTGATGTGCCCGGTGTGATTTGGTGTGCCAGGTGTGGGTCTGGGGGTGTCAGGTGGGATTTGGGTGGTCAGGTGTGTTGAGGGGCAGTTTTGGGGGATCTCAGGTGTGATTTGGTGTGCCAGGTTGGGTCTGGGTATGCCAGGTGTGGGTTTGGGGGAGTCAGGTGTGTGTTTGGGGTCTCAGGTGGGTGTTTAGGAAGACATTTTTGGGGGCTCAGGTGGGTATTTTGGGTTCAGGTGTGTTTTGGGGGTCCAGGTGTGTTTGGAGGACCTGATGGGTTTTGGGGGGGTTACGTGTATTTTAGGGAGTCAGGTGTGTTTGGGGGGCTCAGGTGCGTTTTGGAGCATCAGGTGTGTTTTGGGGATTGATTTTGAGAGTTCAGCTGTGATTTAGGGAGTCAGGTATGTTTAGGGGTTTCAGGTATGATTTGGAGCATTGGGTGTGTTTTGGGGGGAGTTTTGTGGGTTCAGGTGTGTTTGGGGCAATTCTGGGGTCTCAGGTGTGTGTTTGGTGTGTCAGGCGTGTGTTTGGGGGCGGTTTTGGGGTCTCAGGGGTGTGTTTAGGGTCTCAGGGGTGTGTGTGAGGTCTCAGGGGTGAGTTTGGGGGCGGTTTTGGGGTCTCAGGGGTGTGTTTAGGGTCTCAGGGGTGTGTTTGGGGTCTCGGGTGTGTTTGGGGGCGGTTTTGGGGTCTCAGGGGTGTGTTTGGGGTGGCAGGGGTGTGTTTGGGGGCGGTTTTGGGGTCTCAGGGATGTGTTTAGGGTCTCAGGTGTGTGTTTGGGGTCTCAGGGGTGTGTTTGGGGGCGGTTTTGGGGGCTCCACACCCAGGTGGATGGGAGGGGGCTGGGGGCACCCACAGATCCGGGGGGGTCTGAGGGTACCGGGGGGGGTCGGGGGCTGTCTCAGCCCCCGCGCCCCCCGCAGCTACCGCGGCCCCTCGGGCGAGGTCGGCTGTTACGTGGCCCCGCGGCCGCTGACCCGCGACAGCAACTACTTCGAGGTGAGCGGGGGGCGCGGGGGGCGCGGGCTGTGCCGGGGGGCGCCGAGCCCTGACCCCCCCGGCCCCTGCCCAGGTGTCCATCGTGGACAGCGGGGTCCGCGGCACCATCGCCGTGGGGCTGGTCCCGCACTGCCACAGCCTCGAGCACCCCCCGGGATGGGGGCCCGGCTCCGTCGCCTACCACGCCGATGATGGAAAGTGAGTGTCGCGATAGCGGGGGCGGGGCCGGGATCGTTCGGGTAGTGGGGGATGTCGCGATAGCTAGCCGGGAAGCGTTGGGATAATTGCGGGTGTTGGGATAGTAAGGAATTTCATGGCGTTAGCAATGTTGGGGTGTGAGGTGAAAGAGGAAATGCTTTGGGATATCGGGGGTGTCGGGATAGCAGGGGGATGTCGGGATACTGGGGGGTGTTGGGACCTTGGGGGTGTTGGATACTGGGAGTGTTGGATATTGGGGGTGTTGGATATTGGGGGGTGTTGGATATTGGGGTGTTGGATATTGGGGGGTGTTGGGACCTTGGGGGTGTTGGATATTGGGGGCAACCAGGGGGGCAGCAGGACTGGGAGGTGTTGGAGGGGCACTGGGGCCTGTCACGATATTTGGGGTCTGCTCCAGGTTTGAGGTCCCCCATTAGTGACACCCCCCATTCTGACCCCCCCATTTTCGGGGTCCCCCCCGTTTTGGGGTGCCCCAGGCTCTACAGCGGCCGGGCCAAGGGGCGCCAGTTCGGCTCCAAGTGCAGCTCCGGGGACCGGATCGGCTGCGGCGTCGAGAGGGGCTCGTTCGGAGCCCCCCCAGCCCAGGTTTTCTTCACCAAGAACGGCCAGAGGGTGAGGGGGATCCCCACCCTGGCCCAGAGCACCCCCAAAACTCACCAGGGCACCCCAAACCAGGGTCCTTCTACCCCTCCCCCAGCTGCTCCTCTCGAAGAATGGACAGAGAATGGGGGGGCCCCCAAATCTTCTGAAACCCCAAAGCCTCCAGAGCCCCCCCACTTCCTACTTTGGTGTTTCCCCAAATCCCACATGGGGTCCCGGGGGTGCCCTTGTCCCTGAGCCCCCCTCACCCCCGACTCCCTCAATTGCAGGTGGGGGGTCTGGGGGTGCCACTGTCGCCCCCGGGGCTGTTCCCAGCCGTGGGGCTGCACTCGCTGGGCGAGGAGGTTCGGCTGCATCTGCCCCCCCCCGGGCCCCCCGAGGATGAGGGGGGGGCGATGCTGGTGGACAGCCTGGAGGAGGAGTGGGGCAGGCTCCACGACGTGCGGCTCTACGGCTCCGTGAGCACCCGGAAAGCTGGGGGGGAAAAGGGGGGCTGGAGCCTCCCCCAGGACTGGGAGGGAGCTCAGAATGAGGGGGCAGGGTTGGAACAGGGTGGAGCCCCTCCCTGGGCTGGGAGGTCAGAAATTGAGGTTATGGGGTGAGAAAAATTGGGCTGTGGGAATTTGGGTAAGGACAGTTTTGGGGATGGGACAAGAGGGTTCCCCAGTCCTGGGGAGGGCAAAAAGGGGAGCCGTGACACAGGGGTGGGGTAAAGGGGGTCCCAGCAGCGACATCGGGAGTCTGGGGGTTCTTGGGTGCCCCTCAGATCTCCTGTGTGTGCCCCCCGACCCTCTATGACTGCCCCCCTCAGCCCCTGTGATCCCCCAATCCCCCTAGGACCCCTCAAACCCTCCCAGGTGCTGTTTTTAGATGAGGAAGGGGATGAATTTCACTGATCTGGGGCTGGTCCGGGTTGGGGGGTGCCCTCTTTCCCCCCTGTCTGAGCCCCCCCGCGCCCCCCCAGGTGTTGGAGTACGTGGGGAAGGGGAAGAGCATCGTGGATGTGGGGCTGGCCCAGGCCCGGTGGCCGCTCAGCCCCCGCAGCCACTACTTCGAGCTGGAGATCCTGGACCCGGGCGAGAAGTGCTACATCGCCCTGGGCGTGGCCAGGAAGGTGGGCGGGGGGCTCGGAATTGGGGTACGGGGGGGGCTGGAGGGGTTGGAGACACCCACGGAGCTGGGGGGGGCAGGGAAATGGGGGGATGTGGGTCAGAAATGGGGGTCCGGGGGTTACAGAGGGAGTAAAGGGGGGCTGGAGCCTCCTCCAGGGCTGGGAGTGGTCAAGGAAAGAGGGGAGGGGGCTCAGATTTGGGGTATGGGGGGGCTGAAAGGTGGTGGGGGGGGGGGGTCAAAAATAAGGGTTTAGGGGGGGAAATTGGGGTCTATGAGTTTGGGGGGGCAGGGCTCCCCACATTGCCCTCACCTCTCTCCTCCCCTTTGCCCCCCCTCAGGATTACCCCAAAAATCGTCACCCTGGCTGGAGCAGGGGCTCGGTGGCCTACCACGCGGGTGAGCCCCCCAAAAGTGGGGGGGACTCCCCAAAATGGGTGGGACCCCCCCCCACATGCCAGACCCCCCAAACACGGGACCCCAGTAGTGGGATCTCCTCCTACTCTTTCTGCCCCTGAAAACCCCCTTCCCATTTTTCCTCCCTATTTTGGGTTTTCACCCCGTAACGAGGGTCTGGGGGTCTCCCCCCTGACCTCGGGGATTCCCCCTAATCTGGGGGTCCCCATGGCTCCTCCCTTCTCCCTTCCTCCATCTTTTTCCTTTTCATCCTCTTCCTTTCTCAGCCCAGTTTCCTCCCTTTTTTGGGGTGCACTCCCACAGGGAGGGGTGGTCCCAGCCCCTCGGGGGAGGGGGGTCCCTATGGCCTCTTCCTCCCCCTATTCCACCCTTTTAGCTCCTTTCTCCCCCTTTTCCCTTTCACCCTCTTCTTCTTTCCACCATTCTCAGGCCTATTTCTCTCCTTTTTTTGGGGTGCAGCCCCATGGGAGGGCTCCTTCTCATGACAGGATTCGGGGATCCCTCTGTGCACCCCCGTCCCCAGCTGTCCCCTTCTCCCTTTCCCCCCCTCCTCCACCTGTAACCCCTTTCTCTGCCCACTTCTCCCCCTTTCTTTGGGGTGCACCCCCAAGGAGGGTGTCTTGGGGTTTCCCCCACGAACTCTGGGGGGGTCCCCCTAATTCGGGGTCTCCCCTCAGACGACGGAAAGCTGTTCCACGGCAGCGGGGTCGGGGATCCCTTTGGCCCCCGCTGCTACAAGGGTGACGTGATGGGCTGTGGGATCATGTTCCCTCGGGACTACGGCCGGGACAGCGAAGGTACCGCGGGGCTGGGGACCCCCGGGGCTGGCCGGGCTCGGCGGGGGTCCCTCACCCTCTTGCCCACCCCAGGTGACAGCGATGACGCCTCGGAGCCCCCCGAGGTGAAGGTGAAGGTGCGCAACGTGATGTACCTGGAGGAGGAGGAGGAGGAGGAGGAAGAGGAGGAAGAGGAGGAAGAAGAGGATGGGGAGGACATGGAGCAGGAGCAGGAGGGCAGGAAGGTCGTGGTAAGGGTGGGGACAACCCGCAAAAAAAAAAAATCTGTGCCCTAAAAAAGCCCCCACTGCCCAAAAACCTCATTCCCCCCAAAATTCTTCTTTGTCTATCATTGGCATCCTTTTGAATCATCTGGGGGCTTCAACACCCGGGTTTTGGGGGGGTTGGGGGTGTCCTGCCCCCCTAATATTTGAGGGTGACCCCCCGTTTGTCTATGATCCCCACACATGTTTGTGCCCCGCCTCTGGACCCTCCATCACCCCAAAAATCCCCCCTGCAGCCCCCTTGGGTTCCCTTTACAGTGACTTGCCCTGGGGTCACCCCCTTTGCCCCCACGTTCTTGGGGATTGGGGTCTCCCTGCCCTCCCCTCATATTTTGGGGTGACTCTGCTGTGTATCCCTGAACCCCCCCCGTGTGTTTGTGCCCCCTCAAAACCCCCCCTCACCCCAAAAATCCCCCTACACCCCCCTTTTGGCTCATCTTTCCTTGCCTTACTCTCCCGTTTATCCCCTGGGTTTTTTGGGGGGTGGGGTCTCCCCCCGCCCCCCACTCTGGGGGTGACCCCCTGATTTGTGCCCCCAGGTGTTCTTCACACGGAACGGGATGGTCGTGGGGCGCAGGGAGGTTGGGGTCCCCCCCGGGGGGCTCTTCCCCACCGTGGGGATGCTCAGCACTGGCGAGAGGGTCAAGGTGGACCTGCACCCCCTGAGCGGATAAAGGGGGGGCCCGTGTGGGACCCCCCAAAACCTGAAACCCTCTGGTGCTCCTGGTGCCCCCCCAGGCCCTCCCAGTGCACTTTAGTATGTTTCCACAACGGTGGAGACCCCCCCCCAAGGTGGTTTTTAGGGGGTTCACTTCTGCCCCCAACCCCATAATTTCACTCTTTTAGGGTCTCTTCGGGGGAGGGGATTCCCCTAATTGAATCCCCCCTCAAAAGTACCCCACTGTTGCCCCCCTAGATGTTTTTTGGGGGGGTCTCAGCCATGGCCTGCACCATATTTTTGGGGACCCACCCCCGTGTTTTTGGGGGACTCAATCCTTCCCCCCTCACCCAGATCATCCCAGTGACCCCCCCAGGTGGATTTGGGGGTCTCAGTCCTGCTCCTTCTGCAATGGGTGACCCTCGTGCCCCCCCAGAGCCCCCCAAATCACCCCCTTGACCCTCCCACTCCACTGACCCCCAGTGCCCCCCAGATCACACCTGCACCCCCTCATCTCTTCCAGTGCTCCCCATTCCTGGGGGGTTCCAAGGGGCAGAATTCGGGGTCCCCCCCATCATGAATGTAACCAGACCCTTCCAGTTCCATGGCAGCCCCTGTGCTGGTTTTGGGGTCCCCTTTGACGTTTGCACATGGCGGGCGGGGGTCCCCATGCCCCCTCCCCCCCCCTAAATAAACCCATTTCTTACACCAAAATAAATGTGGATTTATTTGGGTTCCTCCAGGACCCCCCCAGATTGCAGGGGGTGTCCCTGTGCCCCCTTTTCTGCCAGCCTCCCCTTCTTCACTTGAGGGGGTGGTTGGGGGGGTGTAGGAGGTTTTGGGGGGTCCTCAAGGGCAGTTGGAGGGTCTGGGGAGTATTTGAGGGGTCTGGGGGGGGGTCTCAGGGGGAGTTTGGGGGTCCCCAGTAGGACTTTGGTGCTGAAGATGGTGGGAGGGTCCCCTTGTGCTCCCTCGAATCGGGGGTGCCTGGGAGGGTTTGGGGGGTCCAGGGGTGGTTCTAGGGGGGGTTTGGGGGTGTTCATGAAGGTGATGGTGGGGGGGGGTCAGTTATGTGTGTCCCCCTGTCCCCCTCTTGGCACGGGGGACTCCAGGGGTTTTTGGGGGTCCCCCGATGGTTCTGGGGGTCCCTCAGTGTCGTGTCCCCAGCAGGACCTCGGTGAAGAGGGGGAGGAGTCCTGCTGGGTTTTGAGGGTGCCCCTGAGCCCCCCCTGCCTCGGGGGGCTTCGGGAGTCCCCAGCTGGGTTTTGGGGTGCGGGGGGGGTCCCCGGTGTCTCTCAGTGCCGCGTCCCCAGCAGGACTTTGGTGACGAAGGTGACGATGGCCCCTGCCGGCTGCTCGGGGTCCAGCTCCGCGAACACGTGGCACGCGTTGCCCCCCCCCGGGGCCCCCGCCTGCTTCGCCACGAACCCGAAAATCCTGGGGGGGCCGGCGGGGGGGGAGGGGCGAGGCCAGAGTCAGATCTGTGCCCCCCCCTCATTCCCGGGGGTCCCGTTCTGGGGGTCTCCCCACGTACCTGGCCGTGGTCCCGTCGGGGTTCGCCCACCTGGGGGGGGTTAGAGGGGTTGGGAGGTCTGGGGGGGTTTGGGAGGTTGGGGGTCCCCCCGTTGCCCCCCCGTGCCCCCCTCACCTGCGCTCCTGTGGGTCGGTGCCGCAGTGGGTGACGCTGCTCACGGGGTAGTGCCGGCGGAAAAAGAGTCTGGGCCCCCATCCCAGTGCCCCCATCTGTGCCCCCCATCCCAGTGCCCCCATCCCAGTGCCCCCCATCCCACTGCCCCTCATCCCAGTGCCCCCATCCCAGTGCCTCCCATCCCAGTGCCCCCCACTCCAGCATCCTCAGTACCCCCCGGTGCCCCCAGCCCCACCTGCCCCCTGCCGCAGGAGGGCTCCGGCCGTGCTGACATTGGGGGGTCCCGGGGGGTCCGGGGGCTCCTCCTGCAGCTCTGGGGAGGAAGGCACAGGGTGGGGGGGCAGCCGGACTCCCCCGGGTCCCACCAGGAACCTTCCCGGCAGGGACACTGAGGGGCCAGGGGAGTCTGGGGGGTCTCTGAGGGGATTTTGGGGGCTGGAGGAGAGTCTGAGGGGTCCCATCAGCTTTTCGGGGTTCCCGCGGTTGTTTGGGGGTGTCCCTGCAATTCTGCGGGTTCCCGCGGTTTTTGGGGTTCCCGCAGTTTTGGGGGAGGAGCTGCGGTTTTGTGCTGTCCCAGTGGATGTTCAGGGGGTCCACGCAGGGGTTCTGGGGTGTCCCCGCGGTTTTTGGGGTGTTCCCTCGTGTGTTTAGAGTGTTTCCCAGGGGAGTTTGGGGAGTTTGGAGCTTTTGGGGGGTTCCCAGGGGGTTTTGGGTTTCTCCCGGGGGGTTCTGGGGTGTCTCGGGAAGGGGTTGGGGTGGTGTACCTGCAGTTGGAGGGGGGGGTCCCTGAGGGGGTTTTGGGGTGATCCCTGAGGGGGTTTTGGGGTGTCTGCAGGGTTTTGGGGTGTTCCCGCAGTCTTTGGGGTGCCCACCTGCGTGGGGGATGCGGAGGGTGCAGGGCAGCGAGATGGGGGTGATGGAGTGCTGCAGCACCAGCGCTGGGAGGCTCCCTGGGGGGAAGAGGGGTCAGGGCACCCCAAAACCCCCACTGACCGCCTCCAGCCCCCCCAGATTCCCTCGGACCCCGACAACCTCAACGACCCCCCTGACCCCCACAGCCCCTCGCACTGACCTCCCCCATCCCCCCCAGACCCTCCGAGCCCCCCAGACCCTCCGAGCCCCCCAGACCCCTCCTCTGCTCCCCCAGACCTCTCCTCTGCTCCCCCCGAGCCCCCCCTCACCAAAGTAAGGCTCTTCTGGGCACCCCCGGATTTTGACCCCCCGCGGGCCCGTCTCGATCAGGAAGTGCCGGACCAGCTGCTCCTGGGGGTCCCCTGGGGGGGCCGGGGGGGGTCCGAGGTCAGCGAGACCCGCAAAGCCCCCCCGCTCCACGGCACCCCCGGAGGCTCCAGTGTTTTCCGTGGGGCTTTCGGGGGTGTCCATGGGGGGATCCCGGAGGGTCAGGGGGTGTCCAACCCCCCACGGCCCCCCCGTACTGCAGGGGGGGGTCTCTGGGGGGAATTTGGGGTGATTTTCAGGGGTCCCTGGGGTGTCGGTGCCCTGGGAGATGCTCGAGACCCCCGCGGGACCCAATATTCCATAGGGTGGAGGCGGATTTGGGGCGTGCCGGGGGGGTCCATGGGGTTCGGGGGGCCCGGGGTGTCCATACCCGCTCTGGGGGCGGCGCGGGGGGGCGGGACCCCCACCCTGAGCGCGAGCCCGAAGGCCCCCGGGAAGCTGCTGCTGCGGCGGACGAGGAAGGAGCCGGGAGGGGCCGCCTTGAGCAGGGACACGGCTGGGGAGACACGCGGGAGTCGCACCGGGGGAGGGGGCACAAGCGGGGGCCCCCACCGACCCCCCCATTTAACCCTCCAAGCTACCCACAGACCTCACCCATGACTCCCCCCACAGAACCCATCCGAAACCCCCGTTCTCCCNCTTTTAGATCTCCCCAAACCCCTCCCAGCGCCCCCATTAACCCCTTCGCGCCCCCATCTTTACCTGTCGGCTCCTGGGGCTCGCCCACGGCGGGGGGGGCGTAGCCCCCTTTTCCGGGGGGGGGCCCCCGCTCCAGTCCCAGCCCGGGGCGGCCACAGTGGGGGCAACTTGGGGGCTCCAGAGACGGCGCGGGGGGGGCCCCCCAGGCGTGCCCGCCATAAACCGGGCGGGTGGGGAGCGGGGAGATGCCCCCCCAGCCCTGGCAGTCCTGGCACGGGCAGAGGGGCGGGAGCCCCCCCAAAAGCAGGTAGCCCCCCGCCACGGGGCGCCCGTAGCCCCCCCACGGGGGGAACCCCTCGGACAGCGAGCGCTGCACCCCCCGTTTTGGGGGGTCCCGGGGCGAGGCCAGGCTGGCTCGGCGGCACAGGGGGGGGCACGGGGGAGCCCAGGCGCTGGGGGGGGCCCAAGAGCTAGGAGGGCTGGGGGACACTGGGAGGCTGTGAGCGGCGGGGGGGCTGGCAGGCGCTGGGATCCCGTGGGGTGCCGGGGGGCTGAGGGATGCGGGGGGGCCGTGGGACATCGGAGTCCCGTGGGGGGCTGGGAGCCCCTCGGATATCGGGGTGATGTGGGAGATCGGCACCCCGGGGGATGCTGGGGTGCCGTGGGGCTTTGGGGGGCTGTAGGATGTCGGGGGGCTGTGGGGGGCTGGGGTCTCCTGGGATGTCGGGGTCCCATAGGGTGTCAGGGTCTCATGGATTATTGGGGTCCCGTGGGGCATTAGGGGGCTGTAGGACACGGGGGACTTCTGGGCTGGTGGGGGGCTCTGGGGCGTTGGGGATCCATGAGATGGTGGGGTCCCATAGGATTTTGGGGTCCCATAGGGTGACGGGGACCCCTGGGATGTTGGGGTGCCATAGGGAGTCGGGGTCTCCAGGGATGTCGGGGTCCCATGGGATGCTGGGGGGCTGTAGGGCAGCAGCGAGCCCGGGAATGTTAAAGTCCCCTGGGACACCGAGCTGCTGTTGGGCACCAGGGCGTCCTGGGACAGCGGGGTCCCGTGGAATGTCGGGGACCCCCGCGATATTGGGGTCCTGTGGGATATCGGGGTCCCGTAGGGCGCTGGGACCCCGAGGGATATTGGGGTCCCGGGGGATACTGGGGGGCCATGGGGCGCCGGGGTCCCGTAGGAAGTTGGGGACCCCTGGGATGCCGGGGGGCCATGGAATGTCAGGGTCTCGTGGGACACCAGGGTCCCGTAGGGCTTTGGGGTGTCGTAGGGTGTGGGGGACCCCTGGGGTTTGGGGGCCCCACAGGATGGGGGGAAGCCGTGGGGTGTCAGGGTCCCGCAGGATGTGGGGGGGCTGTGGGGAGCGGGGGTCCCATGGAATGGGGGGGTCCCGTGGGAGAGGGGGGTCTTATGGGACATTGGGGTCCCATAGGACAGCGGCGCCCCGTGGGGTGGGGGGACCTCGTGGGACACGGGGGTCCCGTGGAATGGGGGGGCGCCGTGGGACACCGGGCTCCTGTAGGGCGTGGGATTCCCGTAGGGCGCCGGGGTCCCGAGCGGCTCGGGGCTCCCATAGGCTGTGGGGGTCCCGAGCGGTTCGGGGGTGTCAGGGGGCTCCTCCCCCGGGCCGGGGCTCTCGCGGCCCCCCCGCACCCCGAACCCCCCCAGCAGCTGCTCCAGCTCCCGGCGCTCGGCGGCCGTGGGGGGCGGGGGGCGGCCGTGGGGGAGCCCCCCCAGCACCCCCAAACTCCCCGTGTCCTCCCGTGCCCCCCAAGCCCCGCAGCTCCGCGGGCTCTCCCGGCCCCGGGCACCCCCCGTGCCCCCACCTTGCCAGGCCAGGTCGAGCTCGTCCCGGCGCAGCCTCAGGCGGGGCCCGCGCAGGGTCCCCGTGTGGAACTGAACCCCAAAAACCGCCTCGCGCCCCCCCCGCCGCCGGTGGTAACAGCGCACCTGGGGGGGGAAGGGGGGCACAGGTGAGGGAGGGGCTCGGACAGGTGAGCCGGGGTCACGCACAAAGGTCGGGGGTCCCCCCTGCCTGCCCCCCCCTCACCATCACGTCCCCCTTGAGCAGCAGCGCCGGTTCCAGGGTGACACAGAGCGACTGCGAGGCGGGGGGGCTGCTGGGAAAAGGGGGGCGTTTGGGGGGTTAGGCTTGGGGGGGGCAGGTTTGGGGCAATCATTTTGGGGGGGTGTGTTGGGGGGAGCCCCGGGCCCCCTCAAGGGGGGGGGGGGTCGGGTGTGCAGGTCAGGTTTGGGGGCGGGGTTGTGAGCTTTGGGGGCGCCCCAGGACCCCCAGATGGGCACAGAGGGGGATGTGAGGGGTGGGGGAGGGCCCGGGACGCCCCCCAAAGGCACAGCAGGTTGGGAGTGAGCTCTGGGAGGCTCCGGGACCCCCGAGGTGCAGGGGAGGTCAGATTTGGGGGGGTCACTCACTAGACCCCCGAGGTGTAGACGAGCTGCAGCGATTGGTAAATCTTGAGGAAGGGGCGGCAGCCTAGGGGGAGACACGGGGGAGTTACTGGGGGGCCCTGGGGGCTGCCGGGGTCCCTCCCCCCACCCCACACTGACCGTCGGGGGGGTCGTAGGCGGGCAGGGGGGGCAGCAGGACGTGGTGCAGGAACTGGGGGGAGCTGTTCAGGCGGAGCCGCCCCGAGAGCAGCGCCCCGAAATCCTCCGTGTACCTGGGGGGGGGCACGGGTGGAACCCCAAAACCGCCCCAAAACCACACCAAAACCCCCCTGGAGACGACCTCAACCACCACCTGAAACCTTGCCAAAAATCGCCTCAAAACCACCCCAAAACCACCCCTAAGAATCACCCCAAAACCATCCCACAAATCACCCTAAACCACACCAGAAGCTACCTCTAGAACACTAAAACCCATCCCAAAAGCACCCCAAAATCACCCGAAAAAACACCCCAAAACCCCTCAAAACCACCCCAAAAACCATTCTCCCAAATGACCCCAAAACACCCCAAATCCCGCCACGACCTCCCCTGCCCCCCCCGGCCCCACACGCCCCCACCTGCGCTGGGAGGGCTGCAGGACCCCCCCCAGTTTTTCCTCGCAGAACCTCCTCATGCTCAGCGCGTTCAGCGCCTGCTCGGGGCTGGGGGGAAAAGGGGGGGGTGAGGTACCCCCCACTCCCGGGGCCCTCATGTCTTATTCCTCCTCCCCAGAGCCCCCCCTCGATCCCCCCATTGCTCCCAGCAGCTCCCCCAGAGCCCCCAGACCCGCTCCGGGTGCCCCAGCTGTTACCCCAGCTGTTACCCCAGTTGCCCCAGTTGCTGCCCCAGATGTTACCCCAGTTGTTTCCCCAGTTGTTGCCCGTTATTGCTCTAGCTGTTGCCCCAATAGCCCCAGCTGCTGCCCCAGTTGCCTCAGCAGTTGCCCCAGCAGTAGCCCCAGTTGCCCCAGCTGCCCCAGCAGTTGCCCCAGCAGTGGGTCCAGCGGGAATATCGGGGGTGCGGGGTCCTGACATGGGGGTCCCGAGGGGGGGTCCTGTCGTCTGCTCGGGGGGGCTTGGGGGGGTTTCACCCCTTCCGTGGGGTCCCTGATCCTGCCCGGGGAGTTTGGGGGTCCCGAGGGGAGCAGGGGGGTCCTGTCCGGGGGTGCTTCGGGAGTTCGGGTCGGGCCCGCGGGGTTTGGGGGTCTCGAGGGGGATTTGGGGGGTCTCGGTCCTGCCCGGCGGCTGCGGGGAGGTCGCGCCCCGCCCCCACTCACCAGCTCAGGCGGGGGCAGAGGTTGGCACGGTGACGTCACCTGGAGGAGGACACGGGGGTCATCCCAAATGGGACCCCAGCCCCAAATGGGCCCCCCCGCCCTTGGGTGACCCCCGCCCCCCGTCGTACCTTGCTCTCACATCTCTTGTGGGCGGCGACTTTGCAAACTGGGGGGACAACGGCGACATCAGGAACCCCCAGGGACCCCCCGGGGACCCCCCAGTACCCCCCCATACCCTCCCGCTGCCCCAGCAATCCCCAGTAAGCGCCCACTGCCTCCAGTGAACTCCCCAGTGACCCCAGTAACCACCCAAGGAACCCCCCAGTGCTCCCAGTAACTGCCCAGTGCCCTCCCAGTGCTCCCAGTGAGTGTCCAGTGCCCTCCCAGTGCTCCCAGTAACTGCCCAGTGCCCTCCTAGTGCTCCCAGTGAGTGCCCAGTGCCCTCCCAGTGCCCCCCAGTAACTCCCAGTGCCCTCCCAGTGCCCCCCAGTAACTCCCAGCTTCACTCGAATGCACAGGCAGTAGGGAGCTCTTTGCCTACATGCAGTTTTACAGATTTTATACAGCTTTCAGCTAAATCACATATCTCCATGCAAAGTATGCCACTCTTGGATGATATCACATGGATTTTTAATGCTCTGAGGGATCCTTTAGGTCTATAAACAACAAGTAGATTACATTCATCTACATCATGACAGACTTCTCGTGTCCCCCCCATGTCCCCCCGTGTCACCCTCTGTGTCTCTTTTGTGAACCCCCCGTGTCCTCCCCGGGTCCCCTCGGTGACCCCCCCGAGTGCCGCCCCCAGTCCCACCCAGCTCCCATCGTGTCACCTCCGTGTCCCCTCGTGTCAACCCCTGTCCCCGTCTGGCCCCCGCACGCGTCCCCAAGTGTCATCCCCTTGTCCCCTCGGTGTCCCCCGTGTTCCCTCCATGGCTTCTCACCCGTGTCCCCTCCATGACGCCACACGTGTCCCCGCATGTGTCCCCACCATGTCCCTCCCTTGTCACCTCCAGTATTCCCCGTGTCCCGCCCCCGTCCTCCCCTGTGTCCCCTCTCGGACCCCGCTCCTGTCCCCCCCATGTCGTCCCTGCGTCACCTCTGTGTCCCCCATGTCCCCCCCGTGAGCCCCTCGTGTCACTCCCCGTGCCACCCCCGTGTCCCCGCCTCTGTCCCCGCTTGTCCCTCCCGGAATTCCCTGTGCCCCCCGTGTCCCCCCATGTCGCCCACGTCCCCCAGTGTCCCCTCGTCTTCCTCCCCGTGTCCCCCCCCTCGTGTCGTCCCGCGTGTCCCCCCCGTGTCCCCCCCGGCCCCCCGGTCACCCAGCGTCACGCGTGGGGAGGGGGCGGCTGGAGCGGGAACCCCGCGGGGACGCCACGGGAGGGGGTCTCCCCGCTTCTCCCCCCGCAGCCAGCCCCCCCTTCCCCAGGGGGGTCCCCACCCTACGCGGGACCCCCACCCACACGGGGACCACCCCCGGTCCTACCGTGTCGGGGCCATCGCGGCGGCCGAGCGCGCGCAGCAGCGTCCCCACGGCCCCGGGGGGCTTCATGGGGGGGCTCCGCGGGGACCTCGGGGGGTCCCAGGCGCTCCCGGGGGGCGTCTCGGGGCTCCCCGCGGGTCCCGCGAGCGGCTCCGTGGCCGAAGGCGCGCGGGGAGGGGCCGTTTCCGCGAGCCCGGAGCCGCTTCCCGTGCCGGGGGGGGACACGGACACGGGGGGGACACGGGGGGGACGACACGGGGACGACACGTGTGGCCACGGGGAGGGGACACCGGCAGGGACATAGGGGAGGCAAGGAGGAGGCGCGGGGGACACACAGAGGAGACACACGGGGCGGACACCGGGGGGACACGGGCACGGGGGGGACACGGGACACCGGGAGGATCACAGGGGAGACAGGGGGAGGGACGCAGGGGGGACACGCGGGGACACACGGGGTGACACCTCCCTCTGCTGACGCTGCCTCAGTTTCCCCCTTTCTCACTTCCAGGTTCCCCCAAAATTCCTCCCGAGCTCCCCCCGGCACCTTCCTGGCGCTGCCCCCGCCCCCTCTTCACCCTCCTCCTCCTCCTCCTCCTCCTCCCACCGCCCCCCCGCTAACCCGCCCCGCGGGCCCCCGGGACCCCCAAACTCGGGGGAAAAGGGGGGGTTGGACACGCCCCATGGGGACCCCCAATGTCAAGGAGAAGGGGGAGGCTAGACCCTCCCCCCACGGGACCCCCAGATTTGGTGGGAAAGGGGATCCTCAGCCCATGCGACCCCCGGACGCGGGGCGGGGGATGTTGGTTTGGAGGGGCTCGAGGGACCCCACACAGCCCCGGGACGGGGTCCCCAGGGCAGTGCAGGGACCCCAAACCCCTCCCTTGGGGGGCTCCTGGGGGGAAGCTCGTTTCAAGGAGAGGAATTGGGGTACAGGGGGTTTTGGCGGGCGTTGTGGAGGGGAGGAGGAGGAGGAATTAGGGTGCAAGGAGGGTTTTGGGGTGCAGGGCCGGGTTCGGGTTATTGTGCAGGGGGGAGGGTTGGGGTGCAGGGAGGGAATGGGGGTTCAGGAGGGGAATTGAGGAGGGGCTTTTTGGGGTGCAGGAAGAGGATTTGGGTTCGAGGGCTTTGAGGTGCAGAGGGGACTGAGGGGCCTGATCAGGTCCCCTCCCGGCTGGGCTTGGCGGGGTCCCCTTCTCCCGGCCCTTGGGGTCCTCCCCCCTCCCCCGGCCAGGACAGACCCCCCTTTGTGGGGCCGGAGCCGCCGCGGGGGGGGCGCGCATTCCAGCGGTGGGGGAGGCGGGTTCCAGCATTCCAGCGGTTGGGAAGAGCCGGGAAAGAGGAAGGGCGGGGAGGGGTGGGGGGGGCGGCATCCTTGGGCTCGGTGCTGTGCCCGCGCCCCCAATTAATTCCCGTTAATCAGCGGGGGCGGAGGAGGAATGGAAGGACGCAGAGAAGGAAGGATCAGGATGAAGAATGAAAAAGGAGGAGGAAGAGGATGAAGAATTAGGGATGAGGAGGAAGAAGATGGAAGGAGGAGGAAAGCAAAGGAGGAAGGAGAAGGAAGAATGCGAGGAAGGACAGAGGGAAGGAGGAAGGAGAAGGAAAGAGGAGGAAGAAAATGAGTGGAAAGGCGAAGGTGAAGCAGGAGATGGAATGATGGAGGGAGGAGGAAGAAACAAGGAAGAGGAAAGCGGGGAAGAGCAAGAGAGGATGGAAGGGAGGAGGATGAAGGAGGAGGAAAGGCAGGAAGGAAGAAGGAATGAAGGAGGAGGAAGAAAGATGGAATGAGGAAAGAGAAGGACGCAGGAAGGAAAAAGGGAGCCCAGGGAGAGGAAGGCAATGTCGGGACAGGAAATTCCCCCCGGGGGGCTTTGGGAACTGCCCCGTTCCCCTTCAAGGTGGGGAGGAAAAGGGCACAAGGATTTGGGGCCTTTCTGGATCTTTTTCAGCTCATTTTATTGGAGAAAACAAAACAGCCCCCAACCTGGGGGAGAACCCCAAAACACCCCCTGGGGAGCCCAAAACTCCCCCAGGACCTCCCAAAACCTCTGGGAAGGTTCTTTTTACACATTTTTACAGCCCACCCCAAATCCCAAAATCTTGGAATATCTTGAGGTTCTGGGGTGGAAATCCAGGTTTTCCTGTGTAAAGGGCGGGGTTTGCATCCCAAAAATTGGGCGGGGGAATTGGGGGACACCTGTGAGCAGGAGGATGATGAAGGTGTCTAGGGGGAAATCAACATTCCAGAGGTGAGGAAAAGGGGAGGTGGAGAGGGATCCCAGACCCTGGAGGATTTGGGGGGGATTGGATGCCTCCCTATCCCTGTTTTGGAGGGGCTCCAGTGAGGAGGGGGTGGGAGGAAGGCCAGCTCTTCCTCACCCCTTATTCCATGTTAAACACAGAGGGGAGGGGGGGCTTTTCTTTCGATAAAACTCTTGGAATTACCCCTCCTGCCCCAGTGTTGATTTTGGGGTGATTCCCGTGCGTTCAGGGTGGGGTTTTTTTTCAGGATTTAAGAAGCTGTAGCTGAGGGAATTGATGAGTTTTAGGCTTTATTTCCGTCTCGCCTGGATCAAGGTTGGGATTTTTGGGAATCTCCGGAGGTTCCCGCGGCAGCTGAGGAGGACGAGGAGGGGGAGGAAGCTTCTACTCAGCTCCTTCTTCATCATCACCTTCATCCTCCCCATCCATGGAGAGCGCGGCGTATTTGCTAGCATGGCTGAACTGCAGGGAAAACCAGGGAAAATTCCCAAAAATGAGATTTGAGGGGGATAAAGATCCCCAGGGGCTCACACATCCCAAAACCAGGGGGTCACAGCACCCCCAAAAGGGGCCAGAGAAATCCAAAACTGCTGGGGTGGTTCATATGGGAGGGCCAGGGGGGTCATTGCTGAAACAAAGAAATCCCCAAGCCTCCAAAAAACCAAGATTTGAATGGGGTGAAGACCCCCAGGGGTCATGCACCCCAAAAAGGGGGGTTCCCAGCCCCCCCCAAAAGGGGTTTCAGACTGCCCAAGGCTGAACTGTGAGGGTGGGCAGAGGGAGGGAGGCAGTGAAGCAGAAAATTTCCAAAATACCCCAAAAAAATGAGATTTGAGGGGTCAAAGTCCCCTGGGGGTTCACTCACCCCAAAGAGGGGTCACAGCCCCCCGTTAACTGAAGGCATGAGGCATCAGTTATGGTGAAATTCCCCAAAACCCCCCAAACCCGGGATGTGAGGGGGGTCCCTCCCCCTGCTCTGGGTCCCCCATGATCCTTACAGAGGGGGGGTTCTCCTCCAGTTTCTTTGGCTCGTGCTCCTTCCGGGGGTCCCTCCTGAGGAGCAGAGGTCAGAGGTCAATTCCCGGGGAAATTCCCGGTGCCCGGGGGGTGTTCCCGGCTCCTGAGGGGGTTCTGGGGGGGGGTCTCACCTCTCAGGATCCCCCATTCCTGCGGGGCCACGGCTGCAGCTCCGGCCCTTGGAGCTGCTCTCCCGACCCCCCTCCGGCTTCAGTTCCTCTGCTGGGAAAGGGTGGGGGGGTCACAGCCCCCAAAACCCCCTGAGCCCCCCAAGCCCCCCTGAGCCTCCCAGCAAGGCCTCAACATCCCTGGAACCCCCCAACCCCCTTTAAAACCCCCCACAAAATCCCTCAACCCCCAAAGTCCCCTGAGCTCCCCCAAAATCCTCCAAACACCTTCTGAGCCCCCCAAGTGCTCCCAAGACTTCCTCAAATCCCCAAAACCCACCCCAAACCTTCCAAATCCCTTTCTCCCATTCTCACCTCTCCTCTGGGGGGTCCTGGGGGGGCCTCCATCATCTCCAGGGGGGGAGGGGCCAGCGGGGCCCCCACTGGGGAGACAGAAAATGGGGGACGGGCATCAGGGGGGGTCCCTGGAATGGCCCCATTCCTAAGAATGGTGGGATGGGGCCTGGGAATGTTGGGGTGGAGCACAGAAGGGCCCACAGGGAACTCGTGGGAATGTTGGGATGGGGGTACTGGAATATATCCCTGGGCCCTGGGAATGTCAGGATGGGGCACAGGAACATCCTTGAGCCACAGCAAAGTCGGGATCGGGCACAAGAGTGCTGGGATGGAGCCCAGGAACACCCCTGAGAATGGTGGGAGGGGGAACAGGAAGGTTGGGATGAGCAGAAGAGCCACCATGGGCAGCAGGAGTGTTGGGATGGGCCACAGAACACTGGGATGGGCTACAGTAATATTGGGATGTGGCAGGAGCATCCCCGGGCCACAGGAATGCTGGGATGTGCCAGTGGATGGGCCACAGGAACACCTCTGTGATACAGGGATTTTGGGATGGGCCTTAGAAAATTTGGATGGGCAGCAGAAATGTTGGGATGCACTACAGGATCATCCCTGGGAATGTCAGGGTCCCCTTCTCCCGGCCCTTGAGGTCCTCCACTAGGGAAAAGCAGGGACCCATGGAATGGTTTGGGATGGAAAACACTCCCCCAGGCCACTCCTTCCTGGGTCACCCACCTGGTCGGGGAGGTTTGCTCCGAGTCAGAGCCCTGGGAATTGCCAGGGGGGTTCTGGCTGCTCCGCTTCATCCAGGCGTTTTCCTTGGGAGGTGGCGCCGGCATCACCTTTGGCTTCTCCTCCCGGGATTTGGGGGGCGGTGAGGGTGGCTCCTCCTCTTTTCCTAGGGGCTCATTTTCCAGGGATTTCTCGCTCTCCCTCCTCCGTGTGGCTGGGGGGACACAAACCCGTGTGGCAGCTGCTGGACGCCCTGGGCCGGACGCTCCGGCCGCCCCGGATCCTGACTCACTCCGGCCGGTGGGGCCGGAGCCCGTGGACGTTCCCGGGGGTCCCGCGGGGCCGCTCTGGGAGGATTCGCTGCCTGTCCGGGATCGCTCCTGGTTCTCCTCGCTTCGCCAGCTTGGATGCCTGGCGTAGGGTAGAAATAGGATCAGGGGACTGGGAAAGGGTTGCCCCATCCCACTTTCCCATAGGATGAACACCGTCCCAGCTGAACCACTCCCAAGGGATCACTGCCACCACCCATCCTGCTTTTCCATGGGGACCATTCCCTGTCCCTCCCATCTCCCTGTGGGGATCAGTCCCGTATTTCCTAAGGGATCATTTCCATCCCATCCCACTCCTCCATGGGGATCATTCCCTGCCCATTCCCATCTTTGCCACTGGATCATTCCTAGCCAATACCTCCTTTCCGAAGAGACCATTCCCTACTCCCT